CGGCAGCTACCCCTTCATATGAGTCAATGCTAAAACTAGTACTAAAGATAATACTGGAGCTAGTGAGAGCAATGTCAGATGTTGAGGAGGTGTTTAAGCAAGATTTAATGAAACAGTATAAAAACTGCCATGTTTATGAGTTCACAAATATTTATCTTTGCACAAAGACGTTGAGCTGTCTTTGAAAGTGTGGACTTTCAGAGAGTTTAATCTAATCATTTTTCAGCTTCAGGAATTAAATAAAAACAGCTCCACCCTCCAGATGATCAGGATGGCATGGGTCAGGCATTATTCATCCTTAGCAACACCTTTCCATTATTTCTTAATCTAATAATCCTGACCAATTTACTGCCACTGCCATTCTCACAGCAGGTTTGTTGTGATGAGTTCTGTCTAAATTCTTCCTACACATCATGGAGGAAACAGCACTTAGAGACAATTGTGAATGACTGAAAAGCATGTCAATCATAATTTTGCAAATGGTCAGTTGAGAAATGTCCACAGAGGTCTTAACACTGAGCATGCTTGCTAATTTTCAAATATACCATCTTTTCTCTATCAAGCTTTCATAAAAACATCTCAGACTCCATGGACACTCTGCAGGCTCTAAGCAATACTTAACCATCATTACCTCCACCCCACATTTGGCAACAGGGTTAAAAATGTTTAGACATAAAGCCATTTACTCTTGCCCTCTAGCCATCTATGAGTGAGAACCGAACAGCAGGGCTTGGAGGTGAACTTGCAAGTAAGAGAGACCATCTACCACCCATCGTTTTCCCTCCATTAATGAAGAGCAGCCCCATGTTGCTGTGCATTAAGGAGCTCGAGCGGGAGGTCCAGAGGTCTAAATTATTGATCACTCCCCTCTGATCCGGCAGCCACGTTCCCTTCCATTGTGACATGATTGTTTAGATCTTTTTCAATTGCTTGGCCGCTTGAAGCTAATCAGATCGAACATGCCACACAGCAGACAAGGGGGCAGGTCAATTCACAAGGCATGGGGGCTTCGCGTGTCAAGCAAAGCCAGGTGTCTGCACCCCTCCAAACTCCCCAAAACAACAGCTGCTGTGCCCACAACAGCCCCGGGGAGGCCGTGACGACAGCAAACTGTAAAAAAGTTGCAATTACCACATGCCATTCTGTGCCCAAAGCCTAATTGTAGCAGCAGAATCATTTCCTCAGGAGATTCTCTGGATTGATGCTTTCGTGAGTTTTGAGCAGAGGGGCTGTACAGCTTCACTCACCTGTGAATAACTTAATCAGCTTCATCAATAAACAACATGCTAACACATCAGGGAGGTTGGATGGAGGCCAGAGGTGTTTAAATAGTTGAGGTGCATTTTTGAGACCGCATCCTATTTGGCACCAACTTTGCTGTGTCTGTCAGTGCTGCTGCTTGCGGTGTGAAATTATCCAGCTCCAGGCTTGCTAGTGTTGATGGCAATCTTGATGAAAGGCAAACAATTGCTGTATGAGATCTCCTGGGGAAGATGGGAGGTTGAAACTTGCCTCGCAACTATTCTGGCATGGGCTAAATAACTGCCTTCGTTGCATCATTTTCAGTAATCTTTCTAAAGATCTATCAATAATCAGAAGGTGAGAAAAGACTCCTTACTTAATTGCACGGGTTGTTTTTTTAACCATTCCCATTTGAGCAGATGCTTCAGGTGGGGGAAAATGTGCGATTAACAGAGCAGCCCTGGTTTATTAAGGGAAATCGCCATTTACTCTAATTAGCAAGTGTAGGGAGGACAGGGTCTTGAAAGAGTCTCAACTGGCCCTCTCTGATTCCCCAACTCTCTGTTGTTTATTGTAGACCATATGTTCCCCTGCCCTGTCCGAATTCTCCCGGGTGGTATTAACGCACTCTAGGATCCCTGGTGGAGCACAGAGTCACTGAGGGCTCAGTTCTGCTCTGCCCTATCCCAGCCAAGGAGCACGAGGATCGGGTAACACCTCACCCCCACAGGCGGTCCCCCGAGCCAGCTGTGTTTTCAGCTCGTGTCAGCTCTGCCGAGTGTCAGCAAGCCCTCAGAGTGGAAAAAGAAGTCTCAGCTCCACCACACCAGGCAACAGTTTCCATGGAAATAGACAAGCCAATACCTCTGTTTGCATTTCTCTATATTGGTCTGTCGTGAACTCGCGTGCCGCACTGTGAATTATGCAAGTACGCCTGCTGATTTTGGACAAGGCTTCTCTATTGAAGGAATCTGACTCAATATTGTGGGGACTGGTTAAACAGCCATAAATATCATGACACTTGATATGATACGAATGGTCAAAGCTTCTTGGTCTAGGCCGTGCTACTGTATATTACAAGAGTTCACAAACAGAAGCCTCTAACATGAGCAGACAGAGTGAGCACAGCTTGTACTCAGTATTAATCTTTTATGGAGTGTTAACATTGCTGTCTGAGCTAAACTCTGAGCTAATACTCTCCAATACCAAAGTAGAGGCCAACCCTAATAAGAAATCCTGCATGATAATGTAGTTGTAGTAATTTAGGATATACGAGATGCTCAGGTGAGTAACTACTATTGAAAGGTCAACTTATTGGAAAAGCATAGCAAGGTATGAAATAATTCTGTGTTGGTATATTTTATCATGGCCACACTGTATAATGTAGATTATACAACCCGCTGTGTTGCACTGGCCTTTGATTTGCAAAGGTCAGCTCAACAAAGCAAATGCAGTATTAGAAGAAAAAACAAGGAAATAATACTGTTTAACATAACAAAAACAATTCTCATTTCAATTTAATAAATATAAGTAAGCAAGTAAATAAATAAATAAATAAATAAAATTGAAACACTGGTGAACTTCTTTTCTTGAGCATAGGCGTAGATTTGGGGAGGGACAGAGGGGTCATATTAACCCCAGTGTTTGGAGGGGAGTGAATTGCCTCCCTCAATTTGGCAAAAAATGTACCCATGTCTGCATGTCTATTTAACACTATCTCTGTTGTACAACAGTGATAGATCCGTGTATAAATGACAAAGAATAAAAGCAAGCCTGACACTGAAACGTTTTCGTTTATAGGGCCAAAGATAAAGTGGGTAAGATCTTTTAAAGCATCAAAACATGTCAGTCAGATGCTTCACTGTTCTTGGTTAAACAGCCCTAGCATCTTAATGGCACATGTGTGTTTCAGTTTTGTGTTTATTAAGTATTTCATAGCTAGGTTCTAGATCAGGGGTGTCAAAGTCCAGTCTTGGAGAGCCAGAGTCCATCATAGTTTGGTGAATTCCTTACACAAACACACCTGATCTCCTAACTGTGCCGGACAGTTGGAGACTCCTTTTCTAGATCTATTGTTATTTTTATTCTGACACTTGCATCATTCTATCAATCTTTTGCTAACTAAATAAACATAAGGTTTTATGAACTGCGCACAATGTTTAAGTTTCCATTGCTGAGGTTGGTAAACCATTTTATACAAAGCTAAAGTAAATGAAGTTAACTCTTCAAACTGGGGCTCACATTTTGTGGGCTATTTGCATGGCTGTCTTGTATTGTCTAGCAAGCAGACATGATGCACACATCACAACAATGCCCTCTGTAACCTCAGTGGGATCATCAAGGTTCAACAAAGCACCAGTGAGCAATCTGGCTTGAAAAACAACCCAAGATTCACTCAGTATTGTGATACTGTATCTTAGTTTCTAGGCTTCATAAATCAAAAAACATTTAATGTAAAAGTCAATAACAACCCTGTCACAGTGCTGCATTGTAATGGAAACAGTTCTGGTGAGAAGGACAACTTGTTTGTTTAAAATATATAAGATATATAAATATAAAATATATAAATGCTAATAAACACTAATAATGCTTGATGGAATCCCCACTCCCAAGCTGAAATGAAACCTGTATCACTGTCCTTGATCAAATTAGTTTTCAGCCTATAGGTTTACCTATAAACAAAATCACAGCAAATAACAGCCAGGCAGCATCACCCTGTATTGCAGCAGCACAGCTGATTTAGTTCCCCATTACTGGCTGAGGAAGCTTATGTCTTATAGAAGACAAGAAAAGAAACAAGGAGATTAATGATGCTGCGTGCTCATTTATCACTTTCAGCAGCATAGTCACAATTACAGTTATTAAAGTGCCTCGTATAATTCCACTACATTGTTACACTAACTCTTCCACTCATATTCATATCTGGTACACAAACTTCCAGGCCAGATATTTTGAAAACTCACATGGGGACAGACCAGTGAACAAACTGTAAGCTACTGTACCTGCACAAGCTGTAGGACCTTGACGGCCTTGGGCGACCCATATAGAGCTTGTGTAGGGCTTCAGTGTTTTGGCTAGATGTTGTTCCACTGTGCTGCATAACCCAGGTGCAAATGAAGTATCCTGGGGGAGCACACTGCCTGAAAAAGAACAACTCCGGCCCTGTTTGGGAGCAGCGCTGGTCAGGCCAGCGGTAAACAAGTTAGCATGTAGGTGGACTGGAGCACAGATTTGCACAGGGATGTCTTTTGAATGAAGGACGAGAGTGGGTGGGCTGTAGGAACGCATCCATCCACAGGCCTCACACTTACACGTCCATTACGGTATCTCCATCCCCGCAAGCTGAGCTCAGAGCAGAATACATGCCAAAACCTTAACCTCAACCTTGAGCCAGGCATTGTTAAACTGATCTCAGACCAGCATTTAACACCCACCCTTACCTCCCAGGCTGCTGAGAGCTATGCTTAACTGTTAAGGTCCCCGCCACCCACGAATGCAGAGATTTTGGCTGTGAACAAACCTCCTGTCATGTCAGACATGCTTTACCACCAAGAAAGTGTTCAGTTATGTTAATTCTGTTTACTAGAAATGATTAGCATGGAGACAAACTGGCATGAAAGCACAGCTAATGATCTCACTGTGGTACATTTAAAAGGCTAATTAGGGCTTTAGATGGAACACCCCTGTGAGAATTGCTTCGACTGTTATTCTTTCTCTATTTCACATGAAGAAGGTGGAGTTACAACAGGACGAGGCGGTTTTGGTAAAATATATATTTTATTTATTTCTTCATACAAAGAAATATGAATGTTCAGTATTTAACTGTCTAGAAACATCTGTTCCATTTTGCTCTTTCGTGGTGTAAAATTAATTATTTTTGATAGATACCACAAAATACTTGCTTTACATGTCTTTTTTCATGTCTTGTTCATACATACAGATTTGCTAGCCTATTTATTATGTTATATGTGGGGTAAGACAAACATCACTATCTGGATATCCCTATAAGGTTGAATAAAACTCAACCGTAAACAGATGCATCAGCATGGACTGCCTGACCATGAGCAAAGATTTTGAAATTCTCCCATATGCATTTAAAACCTTTCCAAAAATCAGGTCTCAAGTAGTCAAACTGTCTTAAGAAGGGGTTTCACAGTTATCATTCAGTGAATATCTGAACAATAAATGTCCTACTTGAGTTCTTTGTGGAATTGATGGCAGGGGAACCAGTTGCATTGCTGAGACAGCAGAAGAGACCATAACCAACATTCGTGCTCAATGTTAGACCAGTCTTCGACCACTGTACAAATGACTCCGATGTGAATGCTGGAGAGAAACTTCGGTGATTTCATTATGGTCAGAGCAGCATTCAGTGTTTCTTTTTGCCTCTGCACAATGACTGATGTTTTAAATAGAAGAAAATGCCTGTGAAATTTCCCCTGTCGTTCAACATCCGCATCTAGCAGACGCTCATGGCTTTGTCCTGGAAGCTGATTCATAGTATAATCTCCTCTCTAAACGAAAGGACGTGGGCTTCAGCGTCGTACAGGACTGGTTAGAGGCACAAAATCATCAAAAGCAAATCAATGAACCATTGCAGACCACATTTACTCAAGCACCTCACACATCCGTCCCAAGAACTATCTTCACTATTTGATTTCATGACAAGTGAATGAAGGCTCTGGTACATTTACAACTCATCACCCTTTCACAATCTGTCACAAAGTCATCTTCTAAAAAACACTGGTGAAGTCAATCTTCAGCTGCTGATACAGGGTCAGCCTCTCCATGCTCAATGTTATAGTAAGGTACATGTTGCAAACCCAATACAAAGATCTCAGATCTCAAGAGAAGTCAAATCTCTCATCGTCCTGCCTTCAACCCTATCCAAATTCATCACAGCATTGCTATTCTTGTGCCTTTTGCAACTTGGTGTTCTGCAATTGAGAAGAAAACACAACATTGAGATGTTAGGAGCTGATCCTGAATCAGTTTTACAGTAACGTATTGACCAGGGCTGCGCTGAGCCGAGTCATTTATCTCGTCTTTGAGGTGGCCGCCGTCTCTGAGGCCGTGAGATGTATAACAGATAAGAGAGCTACAGACTTGTTTCTCTCTCTTGCATATCAAGAATTCAAGTAGAAAGACAAACAAAACCCAAAAAAAGGCAACAAAAACGAAGACAGAAGCATTTTGAGGCATCAGATTGAAAGTTCTTACATGTATGAGATAATTTGGCAACAATAAGAGGATTGAGATCAACGCTGAGAAACAATAGACAATGATCTGGTAGGATGAATTAGAATATACTGTGGGACCACAGTCCACCACTGACATCATTCTACTGACAGATGCTGCTACACTCTTTTTATTTGATCTGCCTGTGCTTGAGATGGAGGTGGCGATTGGGCCAGTTCGCTTTGAAGAGACCCATCTATGCAGAGATGTTCTTTAGATAGATAGACCACAACATCTACTGCGTGTCATATTGCATCTTTCAGTTTAGAATAAAGGCTTTCATCTCCAGTCTAGCGGCATAACATTTCTACCATCAACCCAATCCCTCTCACGGATATTTTTACGAAGGCTTTACTTGACCCTTGAACCCCCTTGAGATGGATCAGTAGCCTCGCTGCAATCTAGCTCATTTTCCAAAGGGAAACAATGAGACCAGATAGATCTAATCGATCTTTACACGTGCATTACAAAATTAGCATAATGTCAACATGTTGCCTGACTGTTGTCCACAATGCGATTCCTCCATCAATGAAATGCCCATTCATTATTCCCAGTTGCCAGTAAAAAGGTCGGTGGGATACTCTAAGCATGAATGACACCACGAGTAGCAATTAGACTTATTGATCCACCCACTATTGAGTAAAGGGGACATCTGATCATCTGGACAGCCTGTAAGCTTCACTAAGTAGAAATCATGCCAATCAGGAGAGGACTGAGACATGGACCATTCGGCAAAGAGGCAACCTCTGGAGCGCAAAATGGCCCATGAAAAAAAAAAAAGAAAACTGAAATTCACTAAGAAATATTTGTTGCTATTGGTCTGTGAACACTCTATACCCGTAACACAGTGATTTTTCTTTTTCTCTAGTACATCCAATTTATATTTCAGTCATTACATTAGCATTTGGAAGCACCATTTATTCAAATGAGTTGCCTATCATATGGACGAAAAAATAAAAACAGAAAAGAAGATTGTGGAATGTTGGGAAAACAAAACGTAAATGTGGGCCAGATGCTCTGTACAAATATGGTTAGGCAGCTTAGTGAATTAATTGCTTAAAAATTAAAAATAAATTATTATAAAATAGATCTCTGTACATTTAACATATATATAGCAATTATCACATCTTTTGCCAATAGAAATACAGAGAAAAAAATAGTTTTTTTTGAGTGTTTGTATTCCTTTCACTTTCAATCCCAACCAAAGTTATGTCCGGTCATCTGGTAGAACTTCATGTTGAAGGGCCTGTAGAAGTCTCTGAGCCTCTGTACTACCTCAGGGTCAATGTTGGGGTGAGTCCGCCCTTTGGTTTTGCCCAGGCAGTGGGGTTTGCTGCTTCCCTCGGCCTTCTTGAGGCAGGGGAAGCCCTTGGTCTGGTTGAAGTAGAAGTGTTTGTCTGTGATGATCCTTTTGAGCCCCAGGAAGTCCTGCACGCGGCCCAGCTCTCCGGCCGGATCGCTGATCAGCCGCTCTCCACTCACGAACAGAATCTGACGCATGGGAAAGTACTGCAGCCAGTTGTCCAGATGCTTGGCGTAGATGCCGATCTGGATGGCGCTCCACGAGGTGTCGATCAGACCCGTAGTCCTGTTTTTGAAGGTCAGACTTTCAAAGGAGGGAATGTCCGGCTTCTTGGACAGCGTCTGGGTGTAGTCTGAGATGGCCCGAGTGACGGGATCCCTCACCACCACAATCAGCTTGGTGTCCCGGGACATGGCGTAGATCCGGGCTGGAGCCTCACGGGTCACAAAGTAGCTGGGGGTTTTCTCCATGGTGATCTGACCCTCCAAGGTCTTGGGCATCAGGTCTCTGAAAGAGAAGAGAGAGAAAGGTTAAGGTTGTGATCTAATGAAAGCAAAATGTCGCATCATGCAGTCATGTAGATGGAAGATGTGGCACCACCCCCTCGATCGATGAGACAATTCAAAGCCAAACATAGTAAGCGTTGTTTACTAAAATACATGCATGTACATATATTAAAGATATTCTAAGCAAAGTTAATAAAATGGCTCCTCTGTAATGAGACTATTATTTGCTGACACAAATAGAAATGACATATGGTCCACTTAGGTCAGCAATGTGTGATAGCCTAGTGTGGTCAACTCAGTCTAAATCCAGCCAGGGCTATTTACACTATTAACCACTTAAGAGCAGAGCAAAGGCTAATTGACTCTTTCCAGCAGGGAGGCCGACACAGCTAGCCAGGCTCTTAGTGTGCCCTTTCATAATCATGCACATTACAGATGAAAGTCGATCAGGCTTGTTCGAGGAAAGAAATCCACTGCTAACAGGCTTGGGGCGGTTAACGGGTGAAAGGGATATGTTACATGTGGCCCTATAATCAAGAGGTATTTGAGAACAACTTTTTTTTTTAATGAAAAGTGAACATGGACCAAGAGCCAAGTAGAGTCAGGTTTCAGAGTGGGTCCAAATTGTGAGGAGTAGATTATAGTGCAGTGATAAGAGAGTGACTGTGACAGACACATTTCGTGGGCCTCCCACTCCTCACTCAAATGACTATATACTGTTCTGCTGAAGTCTAAAACAAAGCATACAGTGGGCCCAAAAGTATTTGGACATTTCATCTATTAAAGTTCTTTAGATTTACTGTAAATACTGTGCAGTTTAGCATTTCCTAAGGAGAAAAATGTACAAATACACTATGAAAAATTCAGATGTTCCTTTATCACAACTTTTCCTCTTCTGTCAAGTCAATCTAGATTCATCGATGTACTATAAATACCATATTTCGGTGCTGTGAACCTTTCAAGGCCCATGCAAAAACCTCTCTTCATCTTCTATTCCCTGTTTACAATGTAGTTGCCCAATGCTATCATTGCATTAATTTGATATGTAATAAATGGGATTTAACTAAGCCAAGGATTTGTCAATTTTTGCATAGTTTGGCTCACAAACTACAGCTTTGAACAAGCAAATGCATCAATAAGAATATGTCATATATCAGTGGCATTTTATAATGAATCTGATTAAGCAAACAATAAGCTTTTACCCACCCAAACTGTACTCTGGAAAAGCTTGCACATTCTCTTGGAAAATACAATGCATTGATATCGGAAGCCTCATGCATCTTTAATACAGTGATAGAAAACACGGTAGCACACAGAAAGCTCTGACTCTACACATCGCTGCTGTCGGAACAAAACCTTGTATCTCCGAAATGGTAACTTTACAGGAGAAAGAAAAAAATATACTGTACTTTTAATGTAAGTCAATGGAATCAGAAGTCTTTCCAAGTAATTCTGAGCCATTTGTTTTTGTCCATTCATTAAGAAATTTAAACACAACATAAAGAGAAACATGCATTTTCAAAAATGTTAAAAAGTGAAAAATGGAGATATGAGATTTTGTCCTGACAGCAACGATATGGATCTTTTTTAATACGACCAATGTGAACATGCATCTCCTCTGGTTACTGATTTAGAGCTAAAAGTGTCATCGCCAAATTCTCAGAATTAATCATTCAGTTTGACAGGGTTAACTGACTATTTGAGTTCTGATTGACTCACGTTCATTCGCATTACAGGTTACTTACATTTCTAGGTACTGTCTGAATGCAATATCCACAGCATTCCCACAAATGCACACATGGAGACTCATACTGAGTCACTGGTTTGAGACACACAGGCTCACACTCAGAGAATGTATGACTGTGTTCTGCTGAAAAGGTTTGACATACTCAGGAAGTCTCCAATTCCCTTTGAAGGTGTGTTCGTTTTCAGTGCTGGAGTAGCCGATTCCACTCAGACATCAACGGGATGAGAATAAGCCCCCCTCAGGGTATCGACAAACACACACAGACAAGATTTGTCCGTCTATTGTCTCGGGGGTATCGGGCGCTGTTGTCAGTGCTCAGGCTAAGTTACCACCTCATTGTGGAAAGGCCTGTCAGTGTCTGGTGTAATCCTGCTTTGCGTGTTTACACCCTGCGAAAGCAACACTACACTCGATTTCAAGAGGGCACAAACAATACAAGAGCGGTATCTGCTTTCCCCACTTCAGTAGCCCACAATTCTGATTATCTCTCTCAGCAATCTCTTTGTAAATAGCTAGCTATTTGTACAAGTTGTGAGGAACAAGTACTTTTGAAGACTAAAGGGCTGGAGATTTTGTGGAACGGAACAGAAAAGGGTATGCCTGAAAGTCAAATTGAGTTTCTAGGCAAGGCTTAAACCCGTGAGTGGACATTGTTCAGCCTACCGCAGCACTAGTGCGGAGTTGCTGCATACTGCTCTCCACGATAAGAGTTAGATAGATTATCAGAACAAACGTCCCCAGTGAACCCGAGGTGGGAAAAGTCCCAGTGTTGACAATCCAGCTCACTCCATCCGGTGACAGAACAGCCGACGGCAGAGTGAGGTGAAGTGATGATACAGTACGTTTAATGGGAATCTGTTGGCAGATATGCGTACATGGGCCTCTTTAAAAGAGGCAGCCACTGATCCAATTATGATAATATCAGCTTGATTCCTGCTGTCTCACAAGAGGAGCGAGGAGGCCGGAGGGGGCGGGAGAAGACAGAAATGGGCGAAACCTCATTAATCGCCTGGCAAAATGAAAACAGATTAGCTTAGCGCTATCTTGCGCAACAAAGTGTCAGATCGCACCCCAGGCTTGTGCTGTTGTTAGAGAGTGGTTTAGCATTCGGGATGAGACACGCTTTTGTGTCCTCAAGCTGAACAGTGGTTTATTTGTTTATAGAGCCCTCAGTCTGCAGGAAATATAAACTTGTTGCATGACTAGTGTTCAGCTCGTAAGCTTGCGGTTTGAGTGGAACACTCACTATTAATTACTAATTATCAAGAAGAAGGGGAAACAGCTGGCTGTGTTTGTGCATATAGGGAGTTCGCTAATGAGCCGAGACAAAGATATTGCCGACGTTAGCTGTTGTACCGTTAAGTGACCCCCACCTTCAGCACACCAACACAAACTCACTCTAACAAATGTGGACTTAACCTCACTGACATGAATTAGGAAAAAATAAACATGGAAACGAATGTGGGATGTATCAAAGCTAATGTAACCGCTAATTCAGTAAGCAGCATGCTCAACTTAGGCTTATGGAGCATTACAGCACTGAATTGAGACATGGTAACTACAGCTACTGACCAAAGACACTGCAGAAAGACAGAAGGTTAGAAATACACCAAACAACAAGCCTCCACCCATCCTCTTATCCTTTTCTGCCATTTGGAGGGAAAGGAGAGAAAGGGGAAAAGGGAAGAGAAGGGAGAGGAAAGGGGGTTGAGGAGAACAAGTGGGTGAGCTCTCAGAGGAACAATGCCCATTCTCGCCCATTTTGATTTATGAGGTGGTTCTTTTTTAGACGTTCCGTCAGCTAACAGGCAACGCTCTGACACGGAGCCCTCTTTCTTTTTTCACCCCCACTCTTTCTGTTCAAGCGCAGCATTGTCCTGGAGTGATCTGAGAGAACAGGGGCCATGGCAGGGCCAGGGGTAAGGGGGAAGGATGGAGTGGAGCACTTCTGCCCTGGCTGAGGGTGAGGCGGGGGGGGAGTCTGTGGAGAGCCCTTGAGCCTGAAGTGGAGTGTGTGGCTCGAGTGCCTCTGGGGGAGGGCTTCCACACAGCCGGCCAGCACACGCTGCCAATGGAGCAGGCTAAGATACTCTTCCGATCAATTATTCACCAAGGGATTAGAAAGTGGATAGGCACGCTCGAGAAAGATTTGCCCGATAAAAGAAGGGGCACTCCTCTCAAATGATGAGGCAAGGTCAGAGAACCATGGCAGGTCTTATCTCAAAATGCTTTTTGCCTTACTGTCCAGGCTGCATCTGAATTTAACCCATAGAAGTCACTAACAAAGCATAGCGTACTTTTATATTTCTTGTTTAAATTAGAGACAAAAAGAAAGTGCAAGTGCTAAGTTTTCATAGTTTTGTAACTATTTGCAGATAGTTTGTGATTTTGATGAAAAGTTAACAAATGAAAAGAAACAAATGCAAAAGTTTAGGTATAGAGTATAGAATAGTGACAGTGTGATTCATTATTTAACCAATTACATATAAGCAATTATATAGTTAAATACAAAAAAATATATATTTTTTTATAATAAATAATTATAGTGATGGCCAATTCCACACACCAGCTAGGTCTCCACCTATCTCATTACGCTACCAAGCTGGGAGGGCTTGCATGAGCTTCCTCTGTACCACCATACCTTTTTGCAATCTTTGATTAGCTCACCATGCTTAGAGGAGAACACTAACTGCCAGTTCTGTTACATCTGCTAACAGACACTTGCATTGGCTAGCATTGAGAGCTACATGATGGGCTGTCTTTCCCACTCAAATATGCTGCCTTGGAGTCCCAGCCAAAGCTGGATGTGGCATCACCTGGCATCAAACTCATGATCTCCTAATGACAGGGCCAATGCTTTGACATTTGCGGGAGACCCCCACTTAGCTCTTTTTTGGCGGTAGTTCAGCTTTGTTTAGTTCCTTTGTTATTTGAAGTACTGTCAGTTGAAGGGTTTCCAGCAGGTACAAACCTTTTCTGATTCTGTCATTGCATCTTCAACTCTTCAAGCAGAACTGTGAGGTGCTTTAGGGTAAGAGTGTGATTCTCTAACCCACCTACTTCAAGGGCTTGATAATAGCTGTCTCTAAGCAGTAGAAAACACCAAATATGCAGGGAAGGGGCAATCCAAGGTCAGGGTTCAGAATCACTGGTGTAGAGAGGCAAGTTTAAGCTTCTTTTCCTTTGGTGGAGACTTGTAACTTTACCAAGGCCTACTGCAACACATCAGGCACACTTGGAGAACAATGCTTAGC